GAACGTATCAAAGGCAGACAGCATCACACGCACGCCACGCGAGCACGTAACACAGACAGACAGCCACATCACTCCACAGCAGCACGCCGCGAATGCACTGACACAGGCAGACACAGTCACGCACACCGCACCAACGCGATGCGCGCACTGCAAAACACGTACACACGGCACACCACAGTCACGCACACACCACGCACGCATGGCGCACGGCAAACACGTATACAGCAGGCACACCCAGTCACGCACGATAGCCCACGCACGCATCGCGCACGCAAACACGTACACAGACAAACACAGCCAGCGCACCACGCACACCACGTACACAGACAGACACAGCACATGCACGCCACAGCACGCACGATGACGCACGCGAGCAGCAATACCACAGAAAGACACAACACAACGCCACGCAACGCGCGCACTGTAGTAAAGGCAGACACAGCTCACGCGCGGACGCTAACGCGAGCAAGCGTGACCACAGACAGGCAACATTGCCACACGCAGCGCACGGCGCGCACGAGTACAAAGGCAGACACAGCACGCGTCCACGTACACAGGAATGCAAATATACTTTTGTGCTCTACCTAATTGCCTGCTGTGCAACGAAAAAGTTGCCACTAAAACAAACAAAAAGTCACAAAAAATTCAAAAATAGCCCCAAGGATTTAATAAACGTAGCCCTTAGAAAATACAAATTAATTCCGCCCCTGATTGCGATTATTTAGTTTCAGGACGTCGAGCAAACACAGCAGCTTATGTTCAGCGACAACGTCACGAGTGGAAATGTCTCAACGTTTGCGTGGTCAGAGGCAATCGAGAAAGTACGGGAGGTCATGCCGACGACAGTTGCGCTGTTTCAGGCCACCCTGCCATTGGCAAAGCGCGTGGCGTCGCGCGTGTGCAAAGGCCCTAAATGCAAAAAAAGGTGCGGTCTTACAATGTTGATCAAATTTAAACCTGTAACGCTCTAAACTCTATAAATAGTTAAAGTTTCACATGTAAATGCGGAATTCTAATCAAGAGCCCTATGCTCGTTTTTACAGACAACTAGGAGTTGATGATGTGCAACCCATGATGGACAGGATGTTGGGGCAGATGTTGTCTATTTCACTATTCCTGAAAGCACCAAACAAATTCAGCTTCGTGCAACAAAGTGTGGCTGTGGAGCTGTGGCGGCAAAGGCGCTCCTCACAAAGTGTTCCGCCACACTTAATCGCATGGGCATCAGCCAGGGTGTTGCTGCGGCCCGCGACATGTCGACCGGTTAGAGAGTGGCCACGATCGCAGAGAGACTTGTCACGCTGGAAGAGGCGGCTAGAGTAATTGAATGAGTTAAAATATTATACTTAATAGTAAGTGAGCTTGTGAACGTACACATGCTGGATGCTGGCTATACTAAGAAGCTGGTTTATAAAAAAAAGCCCAGCCAAACCAGGTGTAGACACAACTACTTTGTAGTTGTGTATTATGGTTCGATATCAATAATTACTATTAATTTATATTTAATATATATATTTATATTTATTATAAATTATTTAAATTATTTTCATAAATATTAATTTTCAACGTGTTATTTTTACTTCATCAGCAGTAAGTTGCTTACGAATGAGAGCTCTAAGATGTAATTAAAGCACTTGCTCTCTTACTTGCCATTACGCAAATATTTGTGCATCCTGACTTACTTTCTTTAGGATCCATCATCACTGGTCAGGCGTCAGTTGATGTATCGTTCTACACCGACCTACGGGTTTTGTGTTGACAACGTGCCAATTGGCACAGAGGCGAAGCATCATCACACAGGCAATCAAAACAACTTCCTGCTGATGAACGATGTGCTTCGGAGTCCGGGACCGAGCCCCCCTCCTGTCGCAGCATGCCCCACTACGCACATGCGCAAGTTCGCTCGACCCATACACTTTTCTACCAGCTCCGGATGTATTCGACGCAAGCGGGAGCGCATGGTGTTTGCTGTCAAACACATCTTGGTTACCAATGTGACGAGCTGAAAGCACCTCGCAGAAAAGGCTTGAGCCGCGGTTGCTGCATCAGCACAGCAAGAAATGCAGGAGCCCGTCTGACTTGGTGAGTGATTAAAACCGAAAGTATCATGCAGCTTTGTGAGGGTTTTTCAGACACGATGTTGTTATCACCTTGGTGGTTGCGGGGATTATTGCTGTGTGCTGCAAACGAGTAGCAAAACGTTTTTCGTTTTTATTCAAGGTCAACATAGGCGTCACAGACGCAGATCCGGCAAGCACTGTTGGTATGATCAACGTGCTGCAACAACTGCAGCAGTACATTGGCAGTTGTGCAGGACAACCTGCTGGAGTGCCTGGGTGGGTGGCGACGGACTCACTATTGAACGGATTCTCCATGCCCAACGAGCGAGGAGCAATGGGGACGAGTGGCATCATCGGCTAGGCGGTTTTTGGCCAGCTCCTCAAGAATTTCACAAAGAAATTCTTCTGCTTCAGGTTATTACGCAACAATGAATGCAAGGCACTGCCAGCCTGTTTTTTCAGAGTTGATGTTTACAACACTATACCGGCTTAATCGGAAACGCTATCATAACATACGTGGCATTGATACACTAACAAATTATATTGACTTTGTAACTAGATATTGAATTATGGGTAACTGTGTATTCCCTCCAAGTAACAGGACTCTCAACTATAAGTTCTTCCTTGGAGCTAGTGAAGCGGGCGATTCGGGGAACTGGTTGGCGCCATGAAAATCGAGTTTAACCACCGCATCTCTGAAAAAGGACGTAATTGGCAATTTCGCAGCACCTTGGGACTAATGTACGAGGTTGAGTGTTGCATATGTGCAAAACCTTTTCAGACTGATATCTCCGTAAATCTGACAACACCATTTCTATCACTGTCTCATTACAAGTTACAATCTTGTTCTATATATGCAAAAGATTCTTTTCCTGCCTAGATTTTTGCTTAACTGAGGGGCACGTACATGCTCTGTGCACTGCGGCCTGCGGGGCAATGGCATGCCTAAGGAGAACATGCTGCGAGTGTTCCCACGACAGAAAGCCAATTCCGCGCACAGGCTTAATTGGCTGCCAACCAAGCGTGCGCTAGGAGTTTGGTAGCTTCTGCTGGAAGAACCCACCCCGAAGATAGTGAAGGCATAGCTCTAGCCCGCAGAGAACCTAATCATGTTTGGCAGAGCCAACAGTTGCATCAGACTCTGCCTTCTTGCCTTACTGCCACGTGTAAGGCTGGTAATGGTAGACTATAATTCAAATGCCTCATGAATTAACTAGTGCTGTACATTGCCTAGTTTAAACAACTTCGACCGATATATATCGCCACAAATGGGTATTGTGTTGTATTCATCAGAAAGTAGCAACTAATTACATGCTGCGTATCTGCAGTTCGCACATGCCGATTCGTTGGGACTGCACTCTAAGTTGTGCAAGGGCCTGCAACAACTCCGCAGAGCACGTGCGAGACTGGTATCTGCAGTGAGGAATGCAGAAACAGCGGCAGCTACATTTACTTGCCGTATGTCGGCTCGCCATCATCAGCAATGATGACATGAGTGCAATGTGCTTTGCAGGAGAACTGCAAAAGTGCGAATGGTTCCATAAGCGATGCAAAGGCATCGGACGAGAACGAAACTATGCCTGTGTAAGCATCTGCTTGGTGCCTTTTTAATAAACAATACAATTCTGTTTTTATCATATTCGTTATTAAAGATGCGCGTATGCGAAGCATTGCTTTAGGCGGTAATGCCTCAAAAGTACGATAGGCTAAGTATAAATTATATTACCTATTATTATTTATTATTATATTAATTATATTTACTAAATATTCGAAATTAAGATGTTGTGACTGGTCAAATGTTCATTTGCGATAATAACACATTGAGACCGATTACAGATACATGGTTCTGGCAGTGAGAGTGCAGCCTAGGTGGCAGAGGCAGGAATGATTTCCAAAAC